CTCCGGCCATGCTGAGGCCGCGTCCCACATACAGCAACTAGAAGGATGTGCAGCTATGACATACAACTATCTAATGGGGCTTTGGGGGGAAAAAATAAATAAATAAATAAACTGGTGAAATCCTCACAGAGTGGGAACACTAGCAGAATGGGGTGGGAGCCAGTAAACTATCAATTAAGAAACCTGAGCATGGTAAATCTGAAGCCAGTACTTCTTAGCTGCTCTTTGCCTGGCCCAGCCCTAGTCAATCCAGTTCATTAAAAAAATAAATAAATAAAATAAAACCAACTCAGTCTAATCGGCTCTTTGTTCAATTAATTTAATAATGCATTCTATTCATCTTGGTAGTTACTGTCACATAGTTTTCTAATTTAGTTGTACTGATTTACATTCATGTAGCATACTAAGTTGCTCCACATTCTCACCAACACTTGGTAATATTTGTCTTTTTCATTTTAATCATTTTGATGTGTATAAAACAGCATTGCATTGTGGTTTTAATTTGCATTTCCATGATGGCTAATATGTATCATTTATATATATATATATATAACATTATATAAAATATATTCATATATTTATTGGCCATGTGTGTATCATTTCTTGTGAAGTGCCTGTTAAATCATTTTTATTACTACTTTTAATTTGTAGGAATTATTTATATACTTTGGATATAAGTCCTTTATCTAGTATATGTGCTACATATATCTACCTCCTATCTGTTACTTGCCTTTTCTCTCTCTCAATGGTATCATTTAATGAAAGAAAATTTTTAATTTTAGTGTACAGTCATGCATCACTTAACGATGGGGATACATTCTGAGAAATGCATCAGGTGATTTCATCATTGTGCAAACATCAAAGAGTATACTTACACAAACCTAGATGGTATAGCCTACTACACACCTGGGCTATATGGTACTAATCTGATGGGACCACCGTCATATATGTGGTCCGTTGTTGACTAAAACATCATTAAGCAGTGCAAAAACATCATTAAGCGGTGCATGACTGTAATCCAACTTATTCTTTTTTTTCCATTATGGTTCTTTTATGTCCAGTTTAAGAAATCTTTGGCTACCCCTCAAGCTTTCAGAGAATAAAACATGTCACATACTAAGGCTTCAGATTTCTCAATAGCATTGGAAACTAAAAGGCAATGGATATTTGCCTTCTATCTCAAGGGTCCCCAAGACCATCCTTGGGTTTGGTGATCCACTAGAAGGATTCACAGGACTCAGCATATAGTCATTTTCATGGCTAGGATTTCATACAGCGAAAGAATACAAAGCAAAATCAAAGGGAAAAGCACATGGAGGAAACAAGGTGCAAGTTTCCCAGAGTTTTCTCCCAGTGGAGTCACACAGAACTTGCTTTAATTCCTCCAGCAACTAGTTGAGACAACACATGTGAAGGTTTTCATTGTAAAGTGGTTATGTAGGTACTCTCTGGCTAGCACGTAACAAAGTTCCAGATTCCAAAAGGAAAGCAGGTGTTGAATCCTCCATTTCATAACTATGGTATGTTGCTCTGTTTATTTAGGTCTTCATTAATTTCTCTCCATAATGTCTTATAATCTTCTTTATAGAGGACTTGCATTTGCACATCTTTCATTGGATTTATTCCTAGATATTTAATGGCTTTTGATGCAATTGTAAATGCATCAAATTTAAAATTTCATTTTCTATTTGCTGATCTATAGAATATAATTGAAATTAAATTTTGTGTATTGACCTTGTGTCCAATGACTTTGCTAAACTCACTCTAATGCAAAAGGAAGTGGCATAGCATTGTAGGCATATAGTCATATTCATGGCTAGGATTTAATACAGTGAAAGAATACGAAACAAAATCAAAGGGAAAAGCACATGGGAGTCAGGCCTATAGTTCTTATTTTATTAAATATTTAAGTACTATAAAAGACCACCTCATGGTACTTGGACTTGTTTTCTCTCCTTACTTTCAAGGTAAGTGGCTTTATTTACAGGTGAAGACTGTAATTCAGTTAAGATACTTCTCGAGAGTCACATAGTGGGAAGGAAGAGCTACTGTAATTCCACAGTTTCCCCTTCTTTATATTGTAAAGTGAAATGTCCTCTGATATATTAGTGGTTTGTAAGATATGTATTAATTTTACTTAAGCATAATCACTGCTTGCCTAGTTGGGAACGTAATTTATGTTAGGCAAGCTACAAAATGTAGATTTATTACTTAAGTGATAGGTATAGAATTTATTCCACTTGTGAAATGATCTGTTTTGTTATTGTAGCAGGTTAGAAAACTTTTGTTTGGTGCTTTGGCAGGATTAGGCTAAAGCATAATCTTACTTTTATGAGACTTTGTCATATGAAAGTACTGTTAAGGAGCAAGTTTTAATATGATTTTTATCAAAACTCAGCTAGTTTATTATAGACAATAAAGGAACTGTTGGGCTAAAACTAGTAAATTTTTTTCTCTACTAGGTGATTAATAAAATGTCTCCAACATCCCTAAAGATCACACTAAGACAACTCATGGAGGGGTCCTCAAAGACCTTGCAAGAAGTATTAACTATGGAATATCGGCTGAGTCAAGCTTGTATGGTAAGAATTTTTTTTTAAAGTATTGTCATTTTCTAGTTATGAAAGTAATGCATGTTCATTGTGGAACATGTAAAATACAGAAAACTATAAACAAGAAACTGTAAATCTACTCTATGAAAACACAACAGGCCAATTAGCTTAAGGTGTGTGGAAGTATTGCTCCCAGATTGTTGTTAAGCCTTTATGAAACAGCAGTTATGAAATTGCATGTAAGTGTAAGAAGGCCTCTAACCTCATGTGGAATTCAAAATAGAAATTAGCCATTTTTTCAGGCCTGGTCTCTGACCTTGGGCGAGAAGCATAAACTCTCTAAAGCTGAATTCCCTCATTAGTAACATAAGGAGTGTGTTTGTGTGTGTGTGTGTGTGTGTGTGTGTATAAAATAATTGCACAAATGGAAGTTATTAGTCTGTTACATGTTTTAATTAATAGATTAGCATTGTAAAGTACCATTGTAAATACAATTAAAATAGACAATAATCACACTGAATATTATTGATTTCATGGAATATTTCAGAGTCATAGTGATTTCTTCTTCCAGATGATAAACTCTTAGCAGAATTGTCCCTTTTGTATCCTGTGTAGAGGGGCCCTTAGATTAATAAAATTATGGCCTAAAGGAAATATTTTGTTTAGTAACTAGAAAGCAGACATCCCTAATGGACTTTCATGTCTTGAAATATTTATTAAGATATTTGAAGTAGTTCATCTAGCCATAAATAAAGCTCTGTTGGTTACATCTTAAAGTCACTCCTGGTAGGCTGTAAATGGCAGCTGAGATCTGTTTATTATGAGCAGGTACTATGCTAGGCACTTTATATGCGTTCTCTCCATTAAATCTTACACTATCTCTAGAAGGATAAGTACTATTGTCTTCATTTTACAGATGAGGAAACTGTGGCATAAGGTGGTGCAGCTATTAAGTGACAGAGGCACAGCGTGTGAAACTGGGTGGTCTCACTCCAGGGCCTGCACTCTTGACCACTGCCCAGTATACCTCACACAGTCTGTGTTCTTCACTCTACATTTAGTGCACTGCCTAGATTGATTCCCTTCCTTCATTCTCTCTGCAAATATGTTAGCTATGTGCCAGGCACTGTGCAAAGTGTTATGTTGTTGAAAGTAAGACGTGCTCCTTGTTCTCGTGGAATTTATAGTCTACTGAGACTCTAAAGAACAAGTAAAATAATTACAAATGGTACTAAGTGCTCTAAAGGAAACATACAGGGTTGGTGATAGAAGAGAATGATGCTGGGACAGGAGGGAGTGGGGGAGGCAAAGGGAAACCTGCTTTAAATTAGTAGGTCAGTAAAGACATCCCTGAGATGTCAGCTCATCTGTGACTGGAAGGTTGAGAAGTGAGTATGTTGAGAAGGCTCTTGAGTTTCAGCAGGGGGTGGTTTGATTTGATTTGTTTTAAGAAGGTAATTGCTGCTGAATGGAGATGGGGTTGGAGGGGTTCAAGAGTGGATGTACAGACCAGATATGAGTTTATTGCAGTAATCCAGGTGCAGAATAGTAGTGGCTTAGACTAGGATGGTGGCAATGGAGAGAAGTGAATGGATTTGAGACATATGTAGGAGATAGACTTGATAGGCCTTGATGATGGATGTGAGGGAAAGAATGCATTTAGGAGTTAGAGATATGGGTTAGAGATTTAAGTCTAAAAGACATTAGCACCATTTACAAAAAATTTGGAGATTTATTTATTTACAAATAAGATGGCTAACCATGTGCTAGGCACTGTTAGAGGCACCAGGAATACATAGGTAAACAAAACGGACAAAATCCTTGCCCTCGTCGAACTTACTTTGCAGTGGCGGAGATTGACTGTAAACAGATAAATTTGTAAACTATGTAGTATACGATTATATGTACTAAGGAGAAAAAGTAAAGCAAGAAGGAGGATATGGAATATAGAGGGACAAGGGGTTGAACCTGTAGCTAGTTATGACCAGAGAAGACCTCACTGAGAAGATGTTGAGTGAGAACCTGAAAGAAGTGAGGGAGCAAGCCGTGCAAGTGTCAGTGACGCTGCAAATACAAAGCTCGGAGGTATCCAGGAACCTCTGGGAGGCCTTGTGGCTGGAGTGGGGCAGGAGTGGTCGGTGAGGGAGAAAGAGATAAGGTCAGAGCTAACAGGGTAGGGAAAGGCTGTGCAGAGCCTGTATGGCCTTGAAGGTCTTTATAAGACTCTGGCTTTTGTTCTGAGTAAAATGGGAAGCCACTGGGTGTGGTTGAGTAGAGGAGTGACATGATTGTGTATATTACAGAATTGATCCCTCAGGCGCTTATGTGTGGAGTATAGAATGGATAAGATAGTAGAGAAGGAAAATTAGAGAGCCTGGATCTGAGCTCTGAGGGACTCCAACATTTTTGAGGTGGGCTAGAGGAGAAAGACCAGTGGAAAAGAAAAAGGACAGAGGTGGGAGAGCCAGGAGAGTGCGGTCTCATGAAAGTAAGAGAGGAGTGTTTCATGGAGGAGGGAGACCTGCCAGATGTCTAGTAGGTGAGAGTAAAGGCATCGTTTGCATTTGGCAACATCGAGGTTATGGGTGATTTTGGCAAGCCATTTCTGAGGAGTGTTGGGGCAGAAGTTCTAGTGTGGTAAGTTGGGGAGGAAATGAGTAAATGGGATGTGAAGAAGTGGAGACTATGTGTACACAGCTCTTCTTGAAACAAATAGGATAGAACCTGGGACTGTGGAATCAAGTGAGGTTCCTTTTTTATTTTGTAAGCTGGAAGATACTAGAACATGTTTTATAAATGATTGGGAATGATCCAATAGAGAAAAAACATTGTTGATGGTACTAATAATAGTTAACATTTACTGAACACTTACTGTGTGTCAGACACTGTGCTGGGATGTGGATTAAGATAATCCTATGATGGACGTATTGATACTGCCATTTCATATAAGGAAACTGGGAGTTAGAGTAATTACCAGTCCAAGGTCACATAGTTACTATGTAGTAGAGCCAGGAGGTGAACCCTGACATTGGACTGCATGCACTCAGCCACTAAGTTCTACTGCCTACATTAATGATGCCAGGAAAAGAAAGAAATGAAGAACCTTCTCAAGGACTTCCCTTGAGAAGGTATGAGGGGATGTGAACTGGCATGCAGGGGAGGACTGGCCCTTGAAAGAAGGATGGATGGTCCCTTCCTCCATAGTCTGCAAAGGAAAGGCAGCGTGCAGATGGCTGTAGTTGGGTTGCAGGTGTTTTAGTGGTGGGAAGAAGAGAATGTTTATGTCTTAGGGCTTCTCTTTTTTTTTTATGAAGTAGAAGTTTAAATCCTTAGCTGAGAATATGGTGAGAGTACAGTTTGCTAGGGGTAGAGGCTGAGGAGGCAGAAGACAGTTTAAATCATTATCTTGGAGAATGGAGAAGAGAACATGCCTGTTTGAGATTTGTGATCATGAATTTTAATGAAACCAGTCACAGTTGTATGATTTTTCTGCAGCAAGATTTACCTGCTCGAATGCAGGCAGAGGTAAATAGTAGGGCTCAGCTGGTGCTGGGATTTTGCCAGGACAGAATAAAGGGGAGAAGAAGGCTTGACGGAGTGAGGGCATTTTCAAGGAAAAATGACCACATTAATGGACTGGGGAAACTGGGCTGGGTGAAGAGCAAAGTGAAGCCAAAACAAATGGTGAGAAAGTCGGATCAGCGGTGCTCAGTAAGACCAGGGATTTGCAGCATTGGAGATACTTGAGCAAATAAGAATAGGAGGGGGTGATCAGAGTGGGCTATCAGAGGTGGTCCAGTCTCTGAATGTCATGCTTCAGGTTGTGGACATGGGAATGGGAGGCTAAAGTGGGTGGGAGAGATAGGAGATCACCAGCAATAAGGATGCCTGGAAATCTCCCATTTAATCTCGATTTTCTTTCAGGGAGGCCATGACTTTCATGAAGGTGTTAGGGCAGGTAAGTGATAAATGGTTGTTTCCTTCCTGGCTATTATGGAAATAGGATTTGTGAGCATATACTGTTAATCAAAGATGATAGCGGTTTTATTAGTGAAGATTAAAGTTCTATAAAGATTGTAAAGTTTGGTTTTTTTTTTAAATATCACCAACTGACCTATAAGGGAAGATCAGTCTTGGAAACCAATATTGTTTAAAAAATGCACATAACCTGGTCATTGCTTCCTAATTTGTATGTAAGAGGCAATCCTGCTCCTACAGTTGCATGGACTGCCTCTGCTAAATGCAGCATGAGCTTGTAAACTCATTCTGCTGCTGAAGCCTTTGAAAGGTGCATTTATTCCCTTGAATGAGGGAGGCAGAAAGCCCTCAAGTCCCCTGCCCTTCCTCTCTCTTTTGTACTGGCCTGGCAGAATCCCAGCAGTGTCGAACCCTGCTGTCCACCTCCTTGCCTGTACCTACACAGTTAAACATTGACGTTGAGGAAAACCATATGACGTAATTAGTAACATCTGCTAATGTTCTTATTAATTTCTGTTTTTGCTTCTCATCTCCAAAGTCTGCATATTTAGAAAAAGCAAGTAAAGCAGTTGATTTTTTTGTTCCTAAAATTTGCAATAATTTCTTTTTATGTGTAAACCCATATCCCTATAAATAATAGCTGTTATTTATGTTGTATAAAGTAAGTTCTTTCCCTCTGCATGTATTTTGCATACCAAATTTTCTTGTGTTTTTAATGATCACTTAGTATAGTACACACTCTGGATATACTGTATCTGAATAGAAGGTTATGTTCTCTGAGTTGTAAGCTTCTATAAACAGTGGCCACTGTTGTAGAATTCTCTTAATTTTTGGCATGACATATCATCAGAAGTAAGCAGTGGATTCAAATCCTTTTAGAGAGCACATGGAGTTGAGTCAGAGGAGATGGTTCTATGTTTTATAGAAACCAAGTAAAATATGCATTTTTTTCCACCAATTCCCTGCAAATTCTTGCTGCATGTGGATCAGAGCCTAGACCTCTGATTTTAGGAGGGTATGTTACATTGGGTTACTTGGTTTGTGAAAGTATTCTTTATATGTTATAGCAGCCCTTCTTAAACTTAAAAAAGAAAAATATTGTTTTTAGATACACTGTCAGTTATTTTAAGGAAAACGAGTTGAAACCAAGCAGCGTCAGAGTTCTGCTTCATGACACTGGTGCTTATCAAGCTACTTTTTAATGACACGAAAGTATATTGCTTCATCTTTCAGCATAACCTCTTTATTCAGAGAGCAGTATCTATTCTGGGTAAAACTGTTTGATGTTCTTACATAACCAAATGTTTGCTACAATTTGCTAATTATAGAATATGTTAGCATATTAGATAAAATAAACTAGCAAATTAGGGGAATGGTTGTCACAAATTCTTACTCTTAATGTCTAGAATAAATTTCTTCCTGGTTATAGAAGGGAAAAAAAAATATCTTAGCAGAACTAAGAGCTACCAAATGGAATTTGAGTGGGTGCCTCATGAGACCTTCTGAAAAACCTGAGCTGCCTACATGGCAAGAACTTGTTATATCTATGCTAGGTAAAAAAGTTTGTTACTTTGAAATAAAATAACATGCAGATTTGATAAATATTCTTTTTCCTTTTATTTTCCAGTGGACTGTCAAGGAGGTAGATACCATCGGCCAGAGAGCTTAGAAGGGAAGAGATTCTTGTAGAAAAAATGTTCCAGGATTGTTTTTATTTATGCTGTCCAGGGAATGTAGAATTTTCAAATTGGCAGGGATCATAACATCGGTGTTCAATATCACCACTGATGTGATACTGCAATCTCTTAGTTAGGAGACCAAACCTTAAAAACCTCCGGTATCTACACTGAATTATGCATGAAGCCCCCCTTCCCTCTACCTCCTGAGGCAGCCTACTTCCTTGGCTCCCAGATTGCTTCTTTAATTATTTAGCCTTTTAGTACTAAATTTGGTTTTTAGGTTCACTGAAGAGCTTGTATGTTTAAATATTTTCATTCTTCACAAGAATTATGCACTTTTTAAGCATGGTTGAAATTCCCTGCCACAACCATAGTAAGTATAGGCTCCTTCCCTCTTCTTTTTTTTTTTAATTTTTTTGAGATAATTGTAGATTCACATGCAGTTGTAAGAAATAATGTAGAGAGATCCTGCATACCCTCCACCCACTTTCCCAAATGGTAACATTTGTATGACTATCATATACTATCACAACCAGGAAATTGACATTCCCTTCCCTTTTTTTTGAGAGGTTACAGATTGTCTCACACTAATAATCCTGTGAGGATACTATGTGGCTACACTAAGTGATGACTACACTGAAATAAGAGTAGAGTTTCATGATAACCTGAAGGTGGTCTGGTATTTTAATTCAGAGCTGTGTGAACTAGAGGATTCAGCAAAACGGCAGTATCCACATTTAATTATGTATAAAGTCCCCTTCCCTCTACCGTTAAGTAATTTTCCTCTCAACTCAATGTGGAGGAGGTTAGAAGGCAGATCTGGGCTCTCCATCTTCCCCCACCTTTCCTTTAAACCACACCAGCTCTGGTTTTAGCTGTTTTATAACAGGGAAATTTCATTTAGGATTTTGTTTGAAGAAGAAAAAAGAGTTCTTTGGTTTAAATTACTGGATCTGTTCAGTAGGCTGTATTCAAGCTAGAGGTTCAAGCTAGAGGCATCAGGCTTAGCAGGTTAGAAAGTTACCACACGTGTCATCATCAGTACATTGCTATCCATCCAAATTCTATGGGGGCCTAATTTAGAAGAAAAATTGAACATGTACAAAAATTAAACTTTGCAGAAAAAAATGTGCTATAGAAAAATATGCCTAGTACAAGATAGTTTTTGTCAATTCAGTAATTAAAATTTAATACCAGATAGACATGTACTAACATTTCTTATGTCTTCTCTTGACAGTTTTAATAGATAAAGACCAGAGTCCAAAGTGGAAACCAGCTGATTTAAAAGAAGTTACTGATGAAGATTTGAATAATTATTTTAAATCTCTGGGAAGCAATGATTTGAAATTTTGAGGTGACTGGATTTTTAAGGTAATATTTTGGAGCAGGGGTTGGCAAACTACGGCACGTGGTCCAAATCCAGCCTGCTGCCTGTTGTTTATATATCCCGCAAGCTAAGGATGGTTTCTGCATTTTTAAATGGTTGGGGGAAGAAATCAAAGACTGATATTTCATGATATGTGAAAATTACCTGAAATTCAAATATCAATGTCCATAAATAAAGCTTTATTGGAACATAGCTGTACTCATCTATTTACACTCCTCTATTTACATATTATCTATGGCTGCTTTAAGTAGTTGCGACAGAGATCATAAGGCCTGCAAAGCCTTAAATATTTACTGTCTGGTCCTTTTCAGAAAAAGTTTGCCAACCTGTTTTAGAAGATGGGAAAATTTGAAGGTCTTCAGAGATTCTCGAGTTAGTAGTCATGTTCCACATAACGACGTTTCAGTCAGCGATGGACTGCATATATGATGATTGTCCTGTAAGATTAGTACCATATAGCCTTGGTGTGTAGCAGACTATACCATCCAGGTTTGTGTAAATACACTCTATGAAGTTCGCACAATGATGAAATCGCTTAATGACACATTTCTCGGAACGTATCCCTGTCATTAAGCCACCCCTGATTGTATATCTAATTGAAATGGGAACTTCATGTTTTGCCTTTGGGTAGTGATTTATATGTATGTGGTTTATATGTTGATTAAATAAACTTATGTATAGATTATAAAAAATAAAAATCCTGAAATTTTTTTGGATACCATGTTAATGCTTTGTAGAATTTTCTCCATAATCTATTTTAAAATAATTATGAGTTACTATAGCAGAAGTGTTCCTTTTATAATATTAGAAATCTCAGACAAAGAGAAAAGGTTTTATGAGGTTGTCTCTCCATTATTATTAACTCAACTTTGGCCTTGCCTAAAGTTAATCAGAATCCCTTCCTATGGCAAAAGTGAAAGCATTCTTTCTTCTTGTTCGCAATATTTGCTAATCTGGCAGAATGAGGAATTAGGAAATTCCAGTCTCTTAAGATAGAGACACTCTGCTTTCTGCAATTTACATCAGACTTTTGTGTGAGAGTGGTTATTTGTCCGTACACAGTTCAGATCAGGAGAAAAACATTGAAAACAATAGGACTTTTGTTCAAAATAGAAATACCTTCAATAATTGGTACTGTTGACAAAATAAGTTTTCTTTAAGGTACACAAGAAACTGCAAGGTGTTCCAGACTTGGGACCTTAAAGTCTAGGTAAGAATAATTTTTAAATTAAAGGTCATCTTATCATTTATTTTATAATTTTTTATAGTTTTTCCTTCACCCCAAACCCCTCAAACTAAGAGAACTTCACATAAGAACAAAAAGCGGCAGAACTGAAAGAGACTCCAAAGACTATATCCTACACCCTTCTCACAGATGTGGAAATTGCAGTCCAGAAGGAACTGCTTTAAATTTTCTCAGTTCTGAGCATTTTTATATTCTTAAAGCTCCTAAATTGGACCTAAACGATCAAAGAAATTATTTGTATAAATGGGTTTTTATTTACTTTGTATTTGTTAGAAATGCAGAAAATGTCCTTTATGTTAAGAAATTTGGAAATACACAGTGTTACTACAGTGTTACATTTGCTTACTTTAGTTAAATAAGAACTCATAGCTAGTTAATTGCAACTAGACTTTTATTGTATAGTTACAAAAAAATGTTTTCACAAAAATATTTGGAAAAAATATACCATTTCATAGGTAAGTCTTACACGGAAGAGAATTTGCTAACAAAACTCAAGTTTTGCAAAGTAAGATGTAGGGAGTGCATCTGAGTATCGTGCCCACTGCTCCAAGGAAGACATGTCCTATTTGTTTACACAAATACTGGATGACAGCATTATGATTGAGCAAACAATATGTTTGTTAGAACTTTGTTTTTAAATTACTGTTCCCTGACTTTATGATGTGTCTCTAATTTTTGATTTCTAAAACTATATGATACAAAAGTATAGTTCCCCTGTCTCTTTTTTTTTTTTTTTT